ATTTGGGAGTTGTAGTTGCTGGGATTTATAGTTCTCCTACAACCAAAGAGCAATCTGAACTCCGCCAATGATGGAATTGAACCAAACTTGGCACACATAACTCCCATGACCAACAGAAAATACTGGAAGAGTTTGGTGGGCATTGACCTTGAGTTTGGTAGTTGTAGTTCGCCTACATCTAAAGAGCACTGTGGACTCAGATAGATCTGGACCAAACTTGGCACGAATACTCAACATGCCCAAATGTGAATGCTAGTGGAGCTTGGAGGTAATAGACCTTGACATTTGGGAGTTGTAGTTGCTGGAATTTATAGTTCACCTACAATGAAAGAGCATTCTGAACCCCACCAACGATGGAGTTGGACCAAACTTGCCACACAGAACTCCCATGACTAACAGAAAATACTGGAAGGGTTTGGTGGGCATTGACCTTGAATTTGGGAGTTGTAGGGAAGGTAAAGGCATTCCATGCAGTCATGCTGGCCACATGACTTTAGAGGTGTCTATGGACAATGCCAGCTCTTCAGCTTATAAATGGAAATGAGCACCACCACCCCGAGTTGGACACGACTAGACTTAATGTCAGGGGGAAACCTTTACCTTTTACTCCCCTGAGTATGATCATCCATATTTGGTAGCCTGCCTAAATGTTAAGACAATGCTTTACCGCCCTATGAAAGGTTAAGATGGGTGAGTCCAGCGTGACATCCTTTGGTTGGGAGTGTCATCAGAAAGGTAAGCAGAAAAGCATTCTAACTTTGCATGTTCTCAGGGGTGCTTTCTTGGTTCCCCCTTTGGGTGTGTCTCAAGACTAAGGAATCCATGGAAGATTGCTTGCTTCTTTCCTGGAAACTAATTCCAATTTTGCTGCATTTAGGATTATAGCCCGTGGCAAAGAAAAGCTAGGAAGCAAACGCCACGTCTAGACTTACCACCACTCAATAGATCAGAAGAGAAGAAGGAAGGAAGAAATAAATCAGGTAAGGGGTGTTAGCTAGAAATGGCACACCGCTTCTCACTATAGAGAAGATACTATTTGATGAATATGTGGGAGATTGATAGTCTTGGAAATAGCAACCTTCTTCAAGCCTCCACAAGTGACTTGTTATGTATACAATTCAGATTACTTACTGTATTGTATATGTGTGTATTGGTATGCAGCTTTCCTTAACTCTATGTTATGGGAGGGGCTGCAGACCATGTGATCAGATCTGGGACTGTTCAGGACTCAGACTCCATTTTAGATACAGTATGTTTTCTAACGCCAGTAGAAACAGTATATGTGTGTATTGGTTTTCAGTTTTCCTTAACTCTATGTTATTGGAGGGGCTGCAGACCATGTGATCAGATCTGGGACTATTCAGGACTCAGACTCCATTTTAGATACAGTATGTTTTCAAACGCCAATAGAAACAGTATATGTGTGTATTGGTTTTCAGTTTTCCTTAACTCTATGTTATTGGAGGGGCTGCAGACCATGTGATCAGATCTGGGACTGTTCAGGACTCAGACTCCATTTTAGATACAGTATGTTTTCAAACGCCAGTAGAAACAGTATATGTGTGTATTGGTTTTCAGTTTTCCTTAACTCTATGTTATGGGAGGGGCTGCAGACCATGTGATCAGATCTGGGACTGTTCAGGACTCAGACTCCATTTTAGATACAGTATGTTTTCTAACGCCAGTAGAAACAGTATATGTGTGTATTGGTTTTCAGTTTTCCTTAACTCTATGTTATTGGAGGGGCTGCAGACCATGTGATCAGACTTGGGACTGTTCAGGACTCAGACTCCGTTTTAGATACAGTATGTTTTCAAACGCCAGTATGCTTTGAGAACAGTATGCTTAATGCCTTCTTTGCCTCGATCTTCTCACAAAAAGAAAGTCATCTTCAACCTCAGCAAGATAGAGTGGATGAGGGATTAGAGGACATCCAATCCCAAATTGGGAAACAAGTCATCCAGGAATACCTGGCCACTCTAATGAGTTCAAGTCCCCTTTCAGGGCCAGATCAACTACACCCAAGAGTATTGAAGGAACTAGTGGAAGTCATTTCGGAACCATTGGCAATCATCTTTGAGAGTACTTGGAGAACGGGAGAAGTTCCAGCAGATTGGAGGAGGGCCAATGTGGTCCCAATCTTCAAGAAGGGAAAAAAGGATGACCCAAACAACTACCGTCCGGTCAGCCTCACGTCGATACCAGGCAAGATTCTGGAAAAGATTGTTAAGGAAGTGGTCTGCAAACACTTAGAAACAAATGAGGTCATTGCTAATAGTCAACATGGATTTATCAAAAACAAGTCATGCCAGACTAATCTGATCTCTTTTTTCGATATAGTTACAAGCTGGGTAGATGCGGGGAATGCCGTGGATGTAGCGTACCTGGATTTCAGTAAGGCCTTCTTTGACAAGTCCCCCATGACCTTCTGGCAAGGAAACTAGTCCAATGTGGGCTAGGCAAAACTACGGTGAGGTGGATCTGGAATTGGTTAAATGGACAAACCCAGAGGGTGATACTCCCCAAGGCTTCCTCTTCATCCTAGAAAGAAGTGACTAGTGGAGTGCCGCAGAGTCCCGTCCTGGGCCCGGTCCTGCTCAGGATCTTTATTAATGACTTGGATGAAGGGTTAGAAGGCAGGATCATCAAGTTTGCAGATGACACCAAATTGGGAGGGAGAGCCAATACTCCAGAGGACAGGAGCAGGATTCAAAACGATCTTGACAGATTAGAGAGATGATGGGCCAAAACTAACAAATGAAGTTCAACAGTGACAAATGCAAGATACTCCACTTAGGCAGAAAAAACGAAATGCAGAGATACAGAATGGGGGACAATGCCTGGCTCGAGAGCAGTACGTGTGAAAAAGATCTTGGAGTCCTCATGGACAACAAGTTAAACATGAGCCAACAATGTGATGTGGCGGCAAAAAAAGCCAATGGGATTTTGGCCTGCATCAATAGGAGCATAGTGTCTAGATCTAGGGAAGTCATGCTTCCCCTCTATTCCGCCTTGGTTAGATCACAACTGGAATATTGTGTCCAATTCTGGGCACCACAATTCAAGAGATATTGACAAGCTGGAATGTGTCCAGAGGAGGGCGACTAAAATGATCAAGGGTCTGGAGAACAAGCCCTATGAGGAGTGGCTTAAAGAGCTGGACATGTTTAGCCTGAAGAAGAGAAGGATGAGAGGAGATATGATAGCCATGTATAAATATGTGAGAGGAAGCCACAGGGAGGAGGGAGCAAGCTTGTTTTCTGCTTCCATGAAGATTAGGACAAGGAACAATGGCTTCAAACTACAAGAAAGGAGATTCCATCTGAACATGAGGAAGAACTTCCTGACTGTGAGAGCCGTTCAGCAGTGGAACTCTCTGCCCCAGAGTGTGGTGGAGGCTCCTTTTTGGAAGCTTTTAAACAGAGGCTGGATGGCCATCTGTCAGGGGTGATTTGAATGCAATATTCCTGCTTCTTGGCAGAATGGGGTTGGACTGGATGGCCCAGGAGGTCTCTTCCAACTCTTTGATTCTATGATTGTTTGCAATAACAAGTTGAAAGTTGATCTGCTTATCTTGTTCATACATTCTGTAAATATTGCAATGCTGCAGATTAAAGTTTCCTGATATTTTGGGTGAAAACCTGAATCCGTAGGTTTACTAAACCGTGTGTGTAGATAAGGTCAGATGCTTGCAGCTGGATTGTCTCGATAGATGGACTGAAGCATGTTCGTGCTGTGAAAGGACTCTGCTGCATTTTGCTTGCTTCTGGAACACTTGCTATCCAGCTTGCAGCAGTTCAGGAAGGTAATGATTTGGAAACTATAAATCACTTAATGTACCAGCATCCAACAGCAAGGGGCACTTCTGCACATTACATGTGTGGGTCTGCAGTAAGCCTTTGCACATTCTCATAGGTGTCATTTAGTAATACGTCATCTTTTCTTGCCTGGGAGCAGGGGGGCTTTGTTTCCATGCCTTGCTTTCTCCTCTGTTACTTTGCACACAAACTGGAAAGTGGGCTTTTCCCAAAGGCATAATGTTTGTTTTCTTCTAGTGAGCGAAAGAAGCCCAGTCTTTGGCTTGAAGATGCCACTCCCCGTGAAACAGAGGGTCCATTTCTCACAGGCCATGGCAAAGGAAATGAAGTTGGCAAAGAGCTTGGAGAACATCAAAATTTTGCAGGTGCACCAAAGCTTTGTTCTGGGATTCATCAGTGTTGATGCTATTGATACGGAAACACCTTTTTACAAATCTCCGAGACCGAAGGTTGTTTATTAGTGTCAGCCAATCCGCAATTATCTGGAGTGTTTACACTAATTTTTGTATAGTTGGACCTTTAGCTTGACAACCACAGCACTGGTTAAACAGGTGGTGTAACATCAACACTTTTAGAAGTATCTCAAACACAGGCAGGTTAGAAAATGTATTATAAGAGATTGAACAGCAGGTGGTGGTATTTCCTTTACATTATTTATTCCAACATGGTTAGCTATATTATTTGGGAGGATCATTGTATCCACATGGGTCTCTTGCTATCCATGCATGTTTTTGTTTGTGTACAGACCTTTTTAGTGTAGGCACATTAATTTCTAGGATATTTTAGTATCCATAGAGTGAACACTTATATTATATCTGAACCTGTATTTTAATTCAGAATATAAAATGTATAATATAATAATGCAGCCTATTGGATTACATGCTTAAGGTGGACCAGGACTGTTCTTGATATTGGGTGCTCCTTTAGTTTTATTTTGGTGTCTTGTAGATTATATATCTATATATCTATATCTATATCTATATCTATATCTATATCTATATATATCTACTAGCCGTCCCCTGCCGTATGTTGCTGTGGCCCACTCTGTGTATATGTATTTTGTGTGTGTATATATTTGTGTATATGTGTGTTTGCGTATATATATGTGTGTGTGTGTGTATGTGGTTTTGCGTGTGCGTTGTAATATAATTTTTGTTTTTTGGCTTTTTAAGCCTTTTCTACTATGTTTTCCAGTGTTTTTATGAGTGATGGTGACTTGTTGGCCTGTTTGGTGTCTTGTGTCCAAATTTGGTGTCAATTCATCCAGTGGTTTTTGGGTTATGTTAATCCCACCAACTGTTGCATCCCAGTTCAAGAAACAAGACCATAAGATTAAATCCACCACTCTGGACTGTAGGAAAAGCAATCCTTGTTTATTGATGAAAAATTGGTTACAAAAGAAAGGTAAATGCAGAGTCAAAAAGCCACAGAAAAACACAGTAGTCAATAGGATCTCTGAACTTGAGCAAAACTTCAAAAGCCACAAAACAATAACCAGGAGTCTGTTAGCCTTTTACTAACCATGAACTTGGAAACTACAAGCCTCTGGGATTACTGGCCATGGAACACAGGAATTCTGCCAAGACCAGCCACAGTCCCGAATGTTGCTTGACCTAAAGAAGCACCCGGCAGGGATGCTCTTAAACCAAAGAAGCTATTCTTAGAAACGCCCCTTGACTTTTCTGTTTGGGCCTCTTTCTGCTGAAGGCGCTGTGACCTTCGTACAGACTGGGAAACAAATCTATCTCTGACTATCTGTTCTCTCCGGACCTCATTATCAAGCCCAGGTGGGGAGATATCACGGCTAACTTCCAAAACATTCTCTTCTAACTGTTGGGTTTTGTTTTCATTCCCACTGACCTCTGCATCAACAACAGATTCCACACTGTCAGAGTCAGGGAGAGCTTGCTCAGTTTGAAAAACTATCAGAGAATCCTGTTCACACAGATCAGGATCAGGCTGAACCCCAACACCAACAAACATTACATTTTATATAGATAAGATAGAAGATAGATAGATAGATGTATATGTATTATGCATGGGCAATCCATGGTTTTAAATAGTTCTAAAGTACTTACAAAACTAGAGGGCGCTGGTGCTTTGCTTCTAAAGTGTTGTATCAATGTATTGTCAAAGGCTTTCATGGACGGAATCACTGGGTTTTTGTAGGTTTTTTTGGGCTATATGGCCGTGTTCTAGAGGCATTCTCTCCTGATGTTTTGCCTGCATCTATGGCAAGCATCCTCAGAGGTAGTGAGGTAACCTCTAGAACATGGCCATATAGCCCGAAAAAACCAACAACAACCTGTTGCTAAAGTTCTGGTGGTGAAAATTTCAGAACTCTAACAACACTTTCAAAATGTCATTATTTCATTACTGGCAATTTTAATGACAGAACCATTTAGGAACTGCCATTTATAACAAAATTTTGAAAGTTTTGTTAGAGTTCTGAAATTTTCACCACCAGAACTTTAGCAACACTTTAGAAGCAAAGCAGCCGCGCCCCCTAGTTTTGTACTTTAGAACCACTTAGAACCATGGATTGCCCATACCACATACCGTGTGTGTGTGTGTGTGTGTGTGTGTGTGTACACACACACACAATTAAAAGAGATTTACATTTTGATGGGTGGAACTAAGCCCCTTCTACACTGCCATATAATCCAGTTGATCAAAGCAGATAATACACATTATCTGCTTTGAATTGGATTATATGAGTCTACACTGTCATATAATCCAGTTCAAAGCAGACAATCTGGATTTTATATGGCAGTGTAGAAAGGGCCTACATTTCCTCTGCAACTCACATAAGATGGTGTCTGTGTCCCATATTTTTGAGGACAGCAAGATTTGAAACGCTGTAGTTATGTAAAATTGGGTGTGAAGACCCTTCCACACAGCTGGAAAAAAAATCCTACGTTTTCTGCTTTGAACTGGAATATATGGCAGTGTGGCCTCAGGACCCTTCCACACAGCCCTATATCTCAGAATATCAAGGCAGGAAATCCCACAATGTCTGCTTTCAACTAGGTTAGCTTGTCAATATAATGTGAGATTCCATCTGAACATGAGGAAGAACTTCCTGACTGTGAGAGCCGTTCAGCAGTGGAACTCTCTGCCCCAGAGTGTGGTGGAGGCTCCTTCTTTGAAAGCTTTTAAACAGAGGCTGGATGGCCATCTGTCAGGGGTGATTTGAATGCAATATTCCTGCTTCTTGGCAGGGGGTTGGACTGGATGGCCCATGAGGTCTCTTCCAACTCTTTGATTCTATGATTCTTATGCTGGACATGCCCTGATATTCTGGGATATAGGGCTGTGTGAAAGGGCCCTCAGATAACCCAGTTCAAAGCAGATATTGTGGGATTTTCTGCCTTGATATTCTGGGTTATACAGCTGTGTGGAAGGGCCCTGAGAGCATCAACCATGGAGTTCAAGCAATTCTGGGACAATGTCCTCTTGCAGACCTGAAGGAATGGAGCAGGGACAGATGAGCCACTATAATAACCTTTTGGAAATATTTCCAGCGGATTTCCAAGAGCCGGAGACACAGCTTGGATGAACTGAAGCACCACTCCAAAGTCCTCTTGAAGAAGAACCTGGGGCTGATGGAGTGGATCAAGGAAATGGATTATGAAAGTGCCAAAGACGCCAGGGATCTCCTCCAGCAGTATGAAATGTTTGGGGTAAGGCTCAGTTTTACAGTTTAGAGGAGGCATAGGCAAACTTGGGCCCTCCAGGTGTTTTGGACTTCAACTTCCACAATTCCTAACAGCCTACTGGATGAATTGTGGAAGTTGAAGTCCAAAACACCTGGAGGGCCCAAGTTTGCCCAAGCCTTTGTCTGGCTTCGTGGTGTTGTCTCCAATCTCCAAATCACTTTGCCTTCAACAGCCCTTTCTCAGGTCTTGGCTTCCTTGACTCTGTCCATCTATCTGGACTGTTTTGTCTGCCTGTCTTCCCAAGAGATTTGCAGGATTTTCCGGAGACAGCTGTGATGGAATCGCTCCAGGAGTTGCATGTGACGTCTGTAGACAGTCCACGTCTCGCAGACGTATAGCAAGGTTGGGAGGACAATGGTTTTATAAACAAGCACCTTGGTATCCCTACGGATGTCCCGGTCCTCAAACACTCTCTGCTTCATTCGGAAAAATGCTGCACTTGCAGAGCTCAAGCGGTGTTGTAATTTCAGTGTCAATGTTGACTTTTGTGGAGAGGTGGCTGCCAAGGGAGTGGAAATGGTCAATATTTTCTAATGTTACACCATTAAGTTGTATTTCTGGCATGTGGAGAGGGATTGGCCGGTGACTGCTGGAAGAGCACTTTGGTTTTCTCGATGTTCAATGAGAGGCCAAGGGCCGAGCTTCTGTGAAGGTGTTTAGAGTGGCTTGTAGGTCTTCTTCTGAATGCGCACAGATGATGTTGTTATCAGCAGTCCATGTTGTGTTTAGTGCCAGAAAAGAATCTGTCCCTCTATAGCACCATCCGAAAAATCCTGCAAATCTCTTAGGATGACAGGCAGACAAACGTCAGCGTGCTGGAAGAAGCAAAGACCACAAGCATTGAAGTGATGCTCCTCCGCTATCAACTCCGCTGGACCGGCCATGTTGGCCGAATGCCCGACCACCGTCTCCCAAAGTAATTGCTCTACTCTGAACTCAGGAATGCAAAATGGAATGATGAAGGACACAAAAAGAGATTTAAAGACAGGCTTAAAGCCAACCTTTAAAACTCTGGCATAGACACTGAGAACTGGGAAGCCCTGGCCCTTAAGCGCTCCAGCTGGAGGTCAGCTGTGACCAGCAGTGCTGTAGAATTTGAAGAGGCACGAATGGAGGGTGAAAGAGAGAAATGTGCCAAGAGGAAGGCGTGTCAAGCCAAACCCCGACCGGGACCGCCTTCCACCTGGAAACCGATGCCCTCACTGTGGGAGAAGATGCAGATCAAGAATAGGGCTCCACAGTCACCTACGGACCCACCGCCAGGACACTACACTTGGAGGACCATCATCCTTGGACTACAAGGGATCACCTAAGTAAGTAAGTAAGCCATGTCTTTAACTTTTTCCTGAAGGAAAAGAGGGAAGTCGTTGACCTAATTTCACTGGGGAGCGAGTTCCACAGGCAGGGGGACACCGCCGAGAAGGCCCTGTCCCTTATCCCCACCAAGCGCATTTCCGACGAAGGTAGGATCAAGGGCAGGGCCTTCCCAGAAGATAATAAATTTTGAGGTGGGATGTAGGGGGAGATACGTTTGGACAAGAAAGTTGAACCAGAAACGTATAGGGCTTTAAAGGTCAAGACCAGCACTTTGAATTGTGCTCAGAACTGGACAGGTAGCCAGTGGAGCTGACATAACAGGGGGGTGGTATGCGCCCTATATGTCGCTCTAGTAAGTAATGTGGCTACCGCCCATTGGACTATTTGAAGCTTCCAAACAGTCTTCAAGGGCAACCCCACATACATCGCATTGCAGTAATCTATTCAGGATGTAACGAGTACATGGACCACTGTGGCCAGATCAGACTTCCCAAGGTACGAATGCAGCTGGCACACAAGTTTTAATTGTGCAAAAGCATTCCTGACCATCGCCAAGACCTGGGGTTCCAGGCTCAGCAATGAATCCAGGATCACTCCCAAGCTGGTCTTCAGATGATGAAAAGGCAAGAAAGGAAGCCAAGGAGGTGCTTTCCTCCCTTTCCTTCCTGTTGTCTTTTATTTGAGTGGCCGGGAAGTGACTAAAAGCTGCATGTGGCATATGACCCCCAGTTGGACCACCCAGTAACCTGAGCATCCACCATCGCCTTTGGCTTTTCTCTCTGCAGACAGTCATCACGACCCTCCGGGACTCGACCCAGAACCAGGTTGGCATCGCAAAAAGGGAACTCATGGAGAAAGAGAAAATAGTGGAGAAGAACATGGGAAGTAAGCAGCATCCCACAAGACCTGGGGCTGAAAGGAAGGGATGGGGAAGCAGGTGTTTTTGCCCTTCCTGAGACCATTTGGAGGCATTTTGAGACAACAACAACAACAACAACAACAACAACAGGTTTGATATAGGTTTTTTTTGGGCTATATGGCCATGTTCTAGAGGCATTCTCTCCCGACGTTTCGCCTGCATCTATGGCAAGCATCCTCAGAGGTAGTGAGGTCTGTTGTAACTAGTAAAAAGGGTTTATATATCTGTGGAAAGACCAGGGTGGGACAAAGAACTCTTGTCTGTTGGAGCTAGGTGTGAATGTTTCAACTGTTTCAATGTTTCAATTTTTATTGCTGTTGTGGTTTATGAAATTATAATGTTTTTAATTGTGTTGTGATACTATGTATACTGTTTTGTTGGAAACCGCCTTGAGTTGCCGATATGGCTGAGAAAGGCGGTATACAAATACAGTAAATAAATAATAAATAAATAAACTGACCACCTTGATTAGCATTTGATGGCCAGGCAGTGCTTGGGGCAATCTTTTGTTGAGAGGTGATTAGATGTCCCTGATTGTTTCCTCTAAAGGAACACGAAAGGCAGTGCAGACTACTTCAGCCAGAGAAGTCAGCCATAGCAGAGCACTTGATGAACCAACCTGGACACTGCAGATTATTGGAGAACACAGAAAGGCTGGACCACTCTCACAACCACCATGTCAGGCTACACAGAGAAGCCACTGAAATCCACAAGCATGTGGACAATTTCAACAGAAAGGAGGAAACCATGAAAATGAACAAAATCTGGCTACCAGTATTAAAAAAAACCTCTAAAATTACAACAGCAAAGCAACGGAGAGGAAACAATCAGGGACATCTAATCACCTCTCAACAAAAGATTGCCCCAGGCACTGCCAGGCCATCAAATGCTAATCAAGGTGGTCAGTTGAAACGTTCACACGTAGCTGCAACAGACAAGAGTCCTTTGTCCCAGCCTGGTCATTCCACAGATATATAAACCCCTTTTCCTAGTTCCAACAGACCTCGCTATCTCTGAGGATGCTTGCCATAGATGCAGGCGAAACGTCAGGAGAGAATGCCTCTAGAGCATGGCCATATAGCCTGGAAAAACCTACAACAAACCAGTGTTTCCGGCCATGAAAGCCTTCGACAATACAATAATAATAATTCCACAGTTTTATCTTCTTTGCCTTGATCTTCCCCTTCCTCCCAAAACCAGAACTAGATGCGGAGATGGGGCGCATGAACACGAAAGTTCAGTCCCTCCAGGATGAGCTCAATGTCTTGCGGTCCTATATGGACAAGGAGTATCCGGTTAAAGCGGTCCAGATTTCATCTCTGATGCGGAGCATCCGGAACCTGATTGAAGAGCAACAGGTATGGACAGGAGGCTTCTTCCACCTTTCGTTCACTTGCCTTGGGATTTTTATTTTTATTTTTGAAAAATGATGCTATAACCTTTTGGGAAATGGAAATCTCCATAACCTTTTTGGGGAATGGCATTCACCACCATTTTGGGAAAATCAGGAATCTCCCTGATGGAGTCTGAGTCCTGAACAGTCCCAAATCTGATCACATGGTCTGCAGCCCCTCCCATAACATAGAGTTAAGGAAAACTGCAAACCAATACATGCATATACAAATGGTACTGTTCCTACTGGCGTTTGAAAACATACTGTATCTAAAATGGAGTCTGAGTCCTGAACAGTCCCAGATCTGATCACATGGTCTGCAGCCCCTCTCATAACACAGAGTTAAGGAAAACTGCAAACCAATACACACATATACAAACTATAGTTTCTACTAGCATTTGAAAACATACTGTATCTAAAACGGAGTCTGAGTCCTGAACAGTCCCAGATCTGATCACATGGTCTGCAGCCCCTCCCATAACATAGAGTTAAGGAAACCTGCAAACCAATACACACATATACAAACGGTACTGTTTCTACTGGCGTTTGAAAACATACTGTATCTAAAATAGAGTCTGAGTCCTGAACAGTCCCAGATCTGATCACATGGTCTGCAGTCCCTCCAATAACATAGAGTTAAGGAAAACTGCAAACCAATATACACATATACAATACAGTAAGCAATCTGAATTATATACATGACAAATAACTAGTGGAGGCTTGGTGGTTGCTATTTCCAACAAAAGTTACCTTTGGGACTACAGTATCCATAATCTGCATGGCAACATAAACCCTGGCCAGCCCGCTAGAGATTCCAGATACTGCAGTCCAAACAAAAAAAGGTCTGGGCTGCTTTAATGTCTTCTTGCTCCCTTGTATCACTGTCTCTTTCAGGATGAATTGGAGTGTTTTCAGAATTATTCTCGAAAGTCCCTTATGAACTTGTCAGGGAGAGCGTTTGAGCAAGAGGAACATGTGTTTCAGAACATTGCAGAGGTCAGTGAGACTTTTCCCCCCCTTCGAATATTTCTATTTTGATAGCTTTAATAGCACTATGTTACACAATTTTTGTTCCGGGCATATAAATGCCGTTTCCTAATTGGTTCTATCATAAAAAATATGGGAAAAGTTTATGAAATTGCAAAGAAAGTAATTGCGGGGTATCCTGAAACACATTTTGCAATAGTTTTTAAATGAATATTTTATCATGGAGACTCAAGCAATTCAACTTAGTTTGTGACAGCCACAGAAATGAAGTTTCTGGAGTAGAACAACTGTTTCCAAAGTATTTATTTGTCGTGTCAGATCAACCAGTCCATTATATTACATTTCTAACAGCAAAGCAAACAAACAAAATACAAAACTTGTGAGTTTGGTAGTTGGTTAAATGTCCTTTGACCAGTATCTGGCCACTTGGAGTGCCTCTGGTGTTGCTGCAAGAAGGTCCTCCATTGTGCATGTGGCAGGGCTCAGGTTGCATTGCAGCAGGTGGGCAGTGGTTTGCTCTTCTCCACACTCGCATGTTGTGGATTCCACTTTGTAGCCCCATTTCTTAAGGTTGGCTCTGCATCTCGTGGTGCCAGAGAGCAGATCTGTTCAGCGCCTTCCAAGTCGCCCAGTTTTCTGTGTGCCCAGGGGGGAGTCTCTCATTTGGTATCAGCCATTGGTTGAGGTTCTGGGTTTGAGCCTGCCACTTTTGGACTCTCGCTTGCTGAGTGTCTCTGTAGATCTTAGAAAACTATTTCTAGATTTAAGTTGTTGACGTGCTGACTGATACCCAAACAGGGGATGAGCTGGAGATGTCTCTGCCTTGGTCCTTTCACTATTGGCTGCTACTTCCCGGCGGATGTCAGGTGGTGCAATACCGGCTAAGCAGTGTAATTTCTCCAGTGGTGTAGGGCGCAGACACCCCGTGATAATGCTGCATGTCTCATTAAGAGCCACATCCACTGTTTTAGCGTGGTGAGATGTGTTCCACACTGGGCATGCATACTCAGCTACAGAGTATTAAATCTCAAGGGCAGATGTCTTCACTGTGTCTGGTTGTGATCCCCAGGTTGTGCCAGTCAGCTTTTATATGATATTGTTTCTAGCACCCACTTTTTGCTTGATGTTCAGGCAGTGCTTCTTGTAGGTCAGAGCACGGTCCAGAGTGACTCCCAGGTATTTGGGTGCGCTGCAATGCTCCAGTGGGATTCCTTCCCAGGTAATCCTCAGAGCTCGGGATGCTTGTCTGTTCTGAAGGTAAAGCACATGTCTGTGTTTTAGATGGATTAGGGATCAGCTGGTTTTCCCTGTAATAGGCAGTAAGAGCACCTAGAGCAGAGTTCTCAACCTCTGGGTCCCCAGATGTTTTGGCCTTCAACTCCCAGAAGTCCTAACAGCTGATAACTGTCTGAAATTTCTGGGAGTTGTAGGGCAAAACACCTGGGGACCTACAGGTTGAGAACCACTGCACTAGAGGCTTTCAGAGACCTTCTGTTGAACCATCTCAAAGCTCCCTGCTTGAGCAGTAATGGCACGATCATCACTCCTCAAAGTGACCTCCCTCCTTTCAGATACTGAAAGATGGCTCTTGTGTCCCCTTCTATCCACCTTCTCTTCTCCAAGCGGAACATTCCCAGCTCCCTAAGCCGATCCTCAGAGGGATTTATGGCTTCCAGACCTTTGATTGTTTTGGTGGCTCTTCTTTGGACACCTTCCAGTTTCTCCATAACCCTTCTTGTCTTATGGTGCCCAGAACCAGACACAGTATTATTCCAGGTGCAAAATGAAGTGGTGATTCAAGTTCCCTTGATCAGTGTCCAGGTTTCCTTCTTAGGTGCCTTTTCCTCTCTTTTGTGCAGAAGCAGCTGATGAAGTACCATGAAGGTCTGACTCAGATGAACAGGAACAACCTGGAGCTGAAAAGACAAATTGCAGTACAGAAGGAGGCAAGGAATTCATCAATAGACTTAGCGAGAAATTGTACCAATTTGGCAACGATTAAACCTAGAAAATGCCTCATAGAAGAGAGGAAGCATGTAAAGAGATCTAGTGACACTACAAGATCTCTACATGCGGATATTCCAGACTAACACAACTATATTTTTATGGGCAATGGTCCTTCCTCTTTCCATCCAAAGTATGTATGGATGTACTGTCGAAGGCTTTCATGGCCAGAATCACTGGGTTGCTGTAAGTTTTCCGGGCTGTCTGGCCATGTTCCAGAAGCATTCTCTCCTGACGTTTCACCCACATTTTACTGCATTGTGTGTTTACTTTATATATTTTTTGCATTGTTTTCATTTTATTTTATTGCTGTATTTTTATGTTGTATATTTGCTTTGTTGTAATTGTTGGGGTTGGCCTCATATAAGCCACCCCGAGTCCCCTTGGGAAATGGTGGTGGGGTATAAATAAAGTATTATTATTATAATTATTATTTCATAGGGATATTATTATTATTATTTCACCTTTGCTTGAAAAATTCTATGAAATCTGGAGTCGCCTTGAATCAACAAGCAACTTTAAGGCATATTGCTATTGTCGCATGCTTTCAAGTTGTTGTCGAAGGCTTTCATGGCCGGAATCACTGGGCTGCTGTGAGTTTTCCGGCCTGTCTGGCCATGTTCCAGAAGCATTCTCTCCTGACATTTCGCCCACATCTATGGCAGCCATCCACAGAGGTTGTGAAGTCTGTTGGAAATTAGGATAAGTGAGGTTTATATCTCTGTGGAATAATGTCCAGGGTGGGAGAAAGAACTCTTGTCTGTTTGAAGCAGTTGTGATAGTTACAATTGGCCGCCTTGATTAGCATTTAATGGCCTTGCAGCCGTGTAATTCTTTGCAGTATGTATGCCTTTGAACTGTTTGGGAATAGATCACACAAAAGTATATTACTGTAGTAATTTAACTTAAGATATGACAGTGCAGTAATCTACACCGCCACATCAAATCTAAATTATCTGCTTCGAACTGGATTATATGGCAATGTAGACTCCTATAATCCAGTTCAAAGCAGATAATCTGGACATGGCTGAATTCACAGGTAGAGGTTTTGGTACTCCTCATTTGCTAATATCTTTTCTTTCCCTATTTCAGTTAATTGCTGAGATGGTGAAAGAAGTCAAGGAATTGCACCGGAGCATCATCAAGCTTCACCACTCCACCGGGGACCCGCGAAACATGATCTTTGCCGACGTCCTCCTCCGCAAACCCAAGTAGGTTTGTTCCTGGGCCTGAGTCTCAAACAGTAGGGCTGGCTTGTGCTTGAAAACTGGGGCTATGCCTTCATGGGATAAGACTGGGGTGGCCAGAGTCCCAATATGTTTTTTAAAGTAGTTTTCCAGATAATTTTGCCCACCAACCATGCAGAAATCTCTCCAAACACTTGAAAATGTGGCAATTTCCTCCAGCTTGCCCTTAGAAGCACCCAAGGATGCTCAATTCAACCCCATGTACTTCAATTTTCCTCTACAGGAGGCATGGGCCAACTTGGGCCCTCCAGGTGTTTTGGACTTCAACTCCCACAATTCCTAACATCCATGGTAAAACCCCCAAGACTGTTAGCAAAACTTGACTAGGAAACTTGGCTTGAAGCTAAGATATCACCAGGAACAAGGCAGAAGCTTCTTACTCCATTCACAACATTGCTTGATCTGAAACCTAAGAACTTCCTTTTCCTAATTAAGGACAGTGTGCTGGTACGGCTGTACCAGGAGCTCCAACTTTATTTGCATTGTATTAAATGTTTGCTTGTAGTCCAAGGTTTCAGGGATTCTGCAGAAAGGTTGCTTCCTTTAGTTGCAGTCGTAGGGCAAGTCACCTGTCCATCGTTAAGTTTTGGTTCCGCCCCTTGTTCGGGGCAATTGGGAAGGGAAGGGAGCCATTTGTAGTTAGTCTCAGCAAGGAAAGCTAATGTAGAGGACATGTACAAGCTTCTCCTGTACAAAAGCTTCAACCCTTAAGACTTTCCGGGGAGAACAGTCTTAAGAGCATCCAAAGATTTCCAAAGATTTCCAGGAAAGCAGCCCTAAAGCTTTGAGGAATTTCGGAGGGTAAACAGTTTGGAAGACCAAAGAACTCCAGCTGGAGAATCTACTGGCCTTACTGGTTGGTCCACTCAGTGCTCGAGATGCAGTTTGACCTGGTATCGGAGCCCACATCAGTAAGGCTTAGATTACAGTCAGCCTGGGAGAAGTTAAAAAGGGATTTTCCTTAAAGTAAAGAAACAGTTATTGAAGACAATTGCCTGTCCCTCATGGACAAGATTAGGAAGCTACCAGTTGCATAAAGGCCTGGAAGCATTTGTTTAACTTTATTGAAGACAAGAGAAGTTTCTGTTTGATTGTTCATTAATAAAGGACTTTGTTATACTTTGTTATACTTCACAAGCCATCTAAAGACCATTTGTGGTGGAAAATCCTTGAGAACTTCTCTTCAGGGGTCCCTGGCTTCCTGCTGGGCTCAAGTTGCACGTCCTATTTTAAAGGCAATTCTTTACAGGCCCAGCACGTGACAGAACAGATAGCAATGCATGAAGGCATTCCATTGGCCTTGAGGAGCCTGTCTCTGGCTCTCTTTCCCAGGCTTCCCTTTCCCATGGCTTGGCTTGCACCTGAAATTCCTCCTTCGCAGGAGCAGCCTGGATTCTCTGCCCAACCCCCCTGCATCGGGTGAGCTCATGTCCTCCTCCCTTCTCTGCCTGTCAGCTTCTAAAGCAGTTTCGTTTTCACACAGAGACTCAACATCTAATTCCAAATTCCCCTCCGTTCTCCCAACCGGGGAATCA